TGATTCTTAAGGTTATTGGCAATGTATGCTAATTTTTACCTGGAATTTTATAGCCTAGGAGTATCAAACTGGAAAAAAAAAAAAAAATGAGATTTTCCCTCATAAACCTAAGAGGAAAAGTAGGGAGTCTGAATACATGTCTCATCCTCATTTCAAATTCTTGACTGAATGCCCTAGTGTTTCTGGTATCTTCTACCTTATAAGTGTGAAAACTAAGTTCATGACCGTAGAGTACTTCACACAAGAGAATATGTAGAAATAAAAATTGTAACTGATAACTTTTAAGAAATAGTTTGCATTTGGGGGAGCAGATTTCAACTGTCACTATCTATACACTCCAAAATTTAGTAGCTTAAAGTATTGTAAAGTTTTTGTTAACCTCACAAATATTAGCTCCCTTCACTTTCAATTGTTATTTTTCTTTCTTACTGTCCTAAACAGCAATTCTGTCTTGCGCACTTTACATGACATATCCACATTTGTAGTGGTTGTAGTGGGATTACTCAAATATGAAAAAATCATCATAAATGTAATACACAAAAAAGCAAAACAAAACAAAACAAAATCCATTGCCATCGGGTCGATTTCGACTCACAGCGACCATAGGACAGAGTAGAACTGCTCCATAGGGTTTCCAAGGAGTGGCTGGTGGATTCCAACTGCCAACCTTTTGGTTAGCAGCCAAGCTCTTACTCACTTCACCACCAGAGCTCCAAATGTAATAAAGTATCTGTAAATGGTTTGGAGTAGAAGCAATTCCCTTCATATTGTACAAGTACATGTACATAGTTGGGTATAGCATGCATACACATTTTAAGTGTATAATTTCTTCAATGTACACACAAATTCATGTATGAGCAAAATACTACTGCAGATTGTGAAAAGTTAAAGTCAGGATGCTTAAGTTCTACAGCAAATATTTTCATTTAGAAAATCAAAACATAATTGTTTACCCAGAACCAAATTCTAGTGCAACTATCACAGGTTGTTTTTATTACTTAAAGAAGTTGTCAAATGTAAATAGGTCACTTATTTTTTTTTTTTTTTTAATATTTTCATTTATACTCAAAAAAGCACACTACGGCCAAGAAAATTAATTCTCCAAATGTTATCAACCAGGCTCAGAAACAGCAATAAACAGCTTACTGTAAAGCCTCCAGCTACAATAAAACGGCCGTCAGTAAGTGGGATAAGAGTTGGGCTGTGCAAAAACAGGTCCTCTGGAAACGATCATCTGAAAGAGAAAGGAGCTGACATATCTTGTTCCACTGTGCTAAAGCAGTAGTTCTCAAAGTGTGGTCCCTGGACTAGCTGCCACAGCATCACCTAGGAACTTGTTAGCCAAAGTAAATTTTCTGGCCCCATCACAGCGGTGTTGAAACAGAAACTCCAGGGCTGGGACTGACCATCCATGTTTTAACAAGTTCTCCAAGTGTTTCTGGGGCATGCTGAATATTGAGAACTAGTAACATATATACTAGCATACGTATTTTTTATCATATCTATTAAGAATACTTTTTTTTCCTTTAAAAAAAAATACATCAATGTGCTTTATCATTTAAAGCCCTACAGGAATTGATTATGTTGTCATCCTCTTTAGCTCTATAGCAGTGAACCTTGATTTTTGATTTTAAAAAAAATCAAGACATGATTTTCTGCTAAAATATGGAAATTTCAGTCAACTTGTGAATGCTAAGGTTACTTCCAAATATTTATTAAAAAATAATTTGAGGGATATTCAGTGACAGATTTGTTATATTCAAGATAAAGGGAAGTTTAGTAAAATAGAGGGGCTGAGGAATGGGCATTTACAATTGTTTCATACATTGTTTTTGCAAACAACACAAGGGGAAACAGGAGGAGAAAAAAAGAGTCAGCCAAATTAGGCATCAAGGAATCACAAACCAACCCATGGTGTAAAGTCAGACGTTATGTTTTCATTGTATAAACCCGTTGCCATAGAGTCAATTCCAACTCATAGCAACTCTACAAGACAGAGCAGAACTACCCCATAGGGTTTCCAGGGGTCAGTTAGTGGATTCAAACTGCCGACCTTTGGTTAGCAGCCGAACTCTTAACCATTGTATTGACAATACAAATCAAAGTTATTTATATTTGGTAACCTTTATCCAAGAATCTTGCAGTTTAGCCACGTATCAATTAGCACTACGAAGTGAAAAGAAGTTCCTGTTAACAACAGTACATGTCCCCCAACTAAAACACGTAATAGATTATATGCTCCTGTATAAATTTCTCTGAAAGCTTTTATAGCAATAAAATTGTTCCAAAAATTGTGTAGCTGCAGGAGTATATTTGTATAAAAGCCACTAGCTGAAGTGAAGAAGCTAACACTGAAAAAGTTTTTACTTTTTAGACCAACTAGAACTTCTTCAGAAAACAATCACAGAGATCAGTGAAGAAAATTAAAAGGACAGTACATGAAACATGTTCTTCTTTCATAGAAAATGTATCTCTCTTATACTAAAGTTGTACATATTGCTGTCAGCATCACCTCTCTCCTTACTTCCAATACTCCTTTCCTACAGCATTGAAATTTTTCTTTTGCAGTATGAAAACTTATAAAAGGTATAAGCTAAGTCATTTCAATAGCACTTTATCATAACAGTGTATAGCTACACTGGAACGTCCAAATGCCTGCTAGGAGAAGAGCAACGTGTCACAATAGTCTCAGGATGTTTAAAATGTACTTTAGTTCCAGTTAAGGAATTACTCAGCATCCAATTAGAAAGATTACATCATACAAATAATCTTATGACTGACAAAGCCTCAACAAAAGGTCTTTTCCATACTTTGCTGAAATGCACTTAACATTTATGTCACTAAACTATATATAATTATATATGGTTCCAACTTTTGTGGATAGATCAGAAAAAGTAGATCTGTATAACAATGTTAATGCCCACCACACGTACATGAAAGGAAAGGTTATGGCAGCAGATCATCAGTGTCTTTCTTTGGAGAACAGATTTCAGATTTTACATGGAGAGTTCTAAATCACATTATTTATTTTCAAGATAACATGCAAATCATAAAATGCCATAGATATATTGTGAGTGACTTTCACATTAAAAGTAAATTAAGCACGTTCAGTCTCCAAAACTACTTTGATAATTAGTTATAAATTAGTTAAATTACTATTAATTGTAAAATTAACTATTTTACAACTTTTTAAAAATCTTTAATAATCCTCGACTATTGCTGTGCTTTAAAACATCAATCTCTTTTTAAAAACTGATGAAGTTAACAGGAAAATAAGTCATCCCAACTTCAACTTACATAAGAGCCTTATATTCTCCTCTAGATCTTCCATACTAATTTAAGTACTCTCATCCTGTGCATTTAGCTCTAAGAATCTGTACTTTTAAAATGTTCTAGATATTTAATCTTTTATTTTAAAAAATGGAGATTTTATTTGCATAACCATAGGTGTTACACATCACGTTCTAAGAGGATCCACGTGATTTATTGTCAAAGTTATTTTCAATAATAAATATTTTATTAACCTCAAGCCTTAAAGTAACTCCTGGAGCAATAAGTAATAGATGGTAAGAGGGAAACAAGAGTTCCAATAAGCTACCCCACCCCACTCAATCCAGAAGAAGAAAAAAGAAGAAGAAAGCAATCTTGGTTTTTCAAAAACTAATCAATGATAGTCAAAACTGTCTCACAAGTTCAGTTTGCTTTCCTTGATTTCCTGAAATTTATGTATATGTACTTTTTTAATCAAACTCAAATGGGCCGTCACTATAAGGTAGACACAATATCAGCAGAGATAGAAAGTGGATTACAAAATCCTAGAAAGTTGGTGAGCTGACAGCTAATCACAAAAGAGCAAGCAAATGAACTTAAATACTAGTTGCTCCAGAGCAACTATCATTAAGTAAAAGGTATCTTTGGCTGTAGTACCAGCTTGATCCTTCCCTCCCCCCTTCCCTCACTACTGCGGGATTGGCACCTGGCCAACACAAGTGACATGATACCCTAGTGCCACCTACAGGCTATTATTGACATTCAAATTGTGGCAACAGACAAGCACCAGTGAAATAAATTAGACAGTGCTGCATTTAAATCTTTATTAACAAGGAATTATTAGACCTAAGAAAAACTAACTCTGGATTTGGTTGAAATATGAGTTTCTCAGCCTCTTAATCCCTCTTCATATGGCATATTTCACAGTTTAAAATGAGTTATGACAGATCACTTATGCATTACTAAGATGAGAGAATATTTACAATGGATTCATTCTTGTCTGTATAAATCAGCTATATTAGGGAGAAAGCATTCCTTTTTTTTTTTTTTTTTTTTTGAAAGAGTACTTTGGCTATTATGGACAATCTGAACACCTTTCTATTAAATACTCAATTTACTAAATTACTGTAAAATCATTTGAAATCAAAGAGAAGACTTCCTATATGGCTTAGTTGCAATCTACCAACAATCATGTGCTTCACAGCTGATGTACATTTAATATTCTACTGTCTAGAGACTAAAAACAAAAAAAAAAAAATTAACCCCTTTTTACTCTCCACAGCTCTAGTATAATTACTGTCAGACCTTCAAACATCGTTTCAAAGTTGAGATCTGAAGGTGACTTTTTAGATCAAAAAGGTAATGTGGAAATCTTGAAGCAGTCAATGTGGAAACCCCAGGAGCAGAATTTGGCATATCAGGACAGGATTTCTTTTTCGGCAAACATTACCTTGGGACGTTTTGAAATAATTTCCTCTTTTCATCTTTTGCCATTGGAAGGAAACTGGGAGGTTAAATAATTCTTAGAACTCAGAAATTTCAAAGCTGTTCTAAAAATTCTTGACTGAGCCCCAGAGGACTAGAAAAGGGGTCAAGTTTTTTTTTTTCCCCCTCTTTATGATATAACTAAGCTAAAGTTAGACCAAAACAATAGACACCCTGGCACGTTAATACTGGTTGACTGGGCACTTGTATGCAGTACTTATAGACCAGTAAAAGTGCTCGTTTACCTGTCTGGTGTGTAAGGGGCCCTTTGTCTTGAAGCCTCCTTGGGAACTGCACTCTGAGGCACTGAAGTGGTCTGAACTAGTGGAAGAGCGTTTGGAAAGCGTGTCACAACCCCCGACAAAGGTGTTGTCCAAAGGGAGTTCCTGAATCACATGATGCTTTTTCACGGAAACTGGAGTGTCTGGTTTGAGATGAAAAGCAGGCTGTGGAGAGGCAGATTTGTAGTGCTTGGCCAGGTCAGGGCTGTTAGGCTTGAAGGTTGTCGGAGGGGCAGGACCCCAGTCATATCTTCCTATGCTTTGCTCCTCCAGCTCAGCTGGCAGGCTTATTGTCCCATTGATAGGTTCGTGAACTGCATCATCCGGCTTGGACTCTTCGATAGTGACAAAGTTCAAAAGAGAGCTCTTGGGAGACTTTCTTTTCTTCCTTTTCTTTTTCTTGTGTTGTTTGTTCTCCTGGTTTGGGGACATCCACTCGGCGCCTTGCTTGCTTCTCTGAGCTGCTTTGAACCTGGATGCATGGCGACAGCGCACCAGAACGGTGATGAAGATCACAACGATGACCACCATGGCGCCTGCCACGATGGCGATCATGATGGTGAGATAGTCCTCGTTTTGATACGGTTGGCTGCTATCCCCTATGTTCCTGTCCAAGGGGGTCTCCATAGTCCTGCGGATCAAGTCATAGATGTAGGAGGCATTGCCAGCAGTGTCATTCACATACAGAAAAACCAGCACGAGTGTGTGCAAAGACTTTGGATACCCCAGGTCACTTATGTTGACCACCAAACGGTGCAAGCCCACATCAGTAGATGCTGGTTTTTCTTCCAGAGTAATGTTACCTGTTACTGGATCGATCCGAAACAAACCTTTGTTGTTCCCACTCACAATCGTATACTTAAGTTCAGCGTTCATTCCTGTGTCAATATCCACTGCAAAAACTTCTGCTACCACGGAGCCAGGAATGGCTGAGAGGGGCACCAACTTAAAGGAAGTGTTAGACGGTGGAGAAATGACAACGGGGCTATTGTCATTGACATCCATGACATTGATAGTTACTTTGGCAGTGGAGGAACGGGGTGGTTGTCCTCCATCTGTGGCTTTGACATCAAAAGTGTAGGAGCTCTGCTGCTCTCTGTCAAATGAAACATTTGACTTTATGACTCCAGAGAAGGGATCCAACACAAAATTCTCATTGTCATTTAGAATGGAAAGAGTCACGGCTTTATTTTCCCCAGCATCTGCATCTGTCACTGTGATTACCCCCACAGTACTATACTTTGGCAGATTCTCAGACACAAAAAATTGAAAATGATTATGAGTAAACTTGGGGCTATTGTCATTCTCATCCAGAACAGTCACTATCACAGCTGCTTGGCTTTGGAGGGGAGGGGTCCCATTGTCCCTGGCAGTTACTGTAAAAATGAAGCGTTCTTGTTCTTCTCTGTCAAAGACTCTGGAGGCTGTCAAAACTCCTGTCTTTCGGTCCAGATCAAAGAAGGAGGCATTCGGTCCAAGCTGGTAAACAATGTCTGCATTTTTCCCACTGTCTTCATCTGTGGCACTAATAGTTGTTAAGTATAACCCACGTCGGTTGTTTTCAGAAACTGACAGCTCAATTACAGGCTGGTTGAAAACTGGTGGGTTGTCATTTTCGTCCTCAAGCTTAACCCTTACCAGGGCAGTCTGATTTAAACTGGGCTTCCCAGAATCAGAGGCAACAATTTTAAAGCTGAATTCTTTGGTGCCCTCATAGTCCAACAACGAAGAGGTCTCTAACAAATACTGGTTGTCGTAAACTGCCTTTAGATGAAACGGGACCTCTCTTTCAATGAAACAGATCACTTTGCCATTCACATCTGTGTCCTTATCTGAAACTGTAATTAGGGCAATCTTTGTATTGACAGGATCTTTCTCAGATAAGTACACTGTGCCGTTGATGGGACTTATAATGTACCTGAGGTCTATGTTGGGAGGGTTATCATTTACATCAGTGACATTGATGGTAACCGTTGCTCGAGCAGGTGTGGAGCTGCCATCACTAGCCAGCACTGTCACTTTGTGAATGGCTGTCTCCTCTCGATCTAAGGACCTCTGAACTGTGATCAACCCGGTAGTATTATTTAAAGCAAAGAGTCGTTTGGTTGCAGGGGCAACCTGGGCACCAAAAATGTACTGGATTTCTGCATTACTGCCTACATCCGCATCAGTGGCATGGAGCTGAATCACAGAGGTGCCTACGGGAGCATTCTCTGGAATATGCACCTCCACTTGACCCTCTTTAAACACCGGCCTGTTGTCATTTACATCACTTACTGTGACCTGCAGTATGGCCGTGCTGGATTTCTGTGGAGTACCTCCATCCTCTACTTTGATTTTCATCACATAGGTATCTTTCTGTTCTCTATCCAAGTTTTGCTGAACAATTAATTGCGGCCACTTCTCTCCCTCCGGCGTTTCCACGATATCCAGTCCAAAAACACTCTGCCCATTTAACAGTTCATAATGCTGCACACCATTGAAGCCTGTGTCAGGATCTGTTGCTGATGGAATTGGAAAGCGGCTGTTGATCAAAGTGTTTTCTGGAATGGAAATATTGATGACAGGAGATGGAAACATGGGGGCATTGTCATTGGTATCCTTCACAATTATTTTTATTTTGATCAGCCTGAAAAAATCATTGGGGAGGATCACCACCTCAAGTTCAAAGAAACACTCATTCTCCTCAGCATATGAGCCTCCAGCACAGAGTTTTTCTCTGTCTATTCTATTGGAGGTTGTGAAGATCTCCCCAGTGCTACTGGATACTTTCACCAAAGGGGCATCCCCAGCTTTAGAAACCAGTCTGTAGACAAGGCTGGCACTGGTCCCTGTGGCAGCATTGATGTGAGAAATGTTCAGATCCTTTGGTATGTTTCCTATGGGCACATTTTCAGGCAATTCCTCTCTAATAGTGTAAATAAGTTCTTGAGCTATTGCAGAATCCAGCCTTAAACAGGCAATCAGAGCAGCCAACAGGTAAAAATCCCTCAGGTCCATGATAAGGTATTTATTTTCTTTTCCTGGATTTTAGGGTTTAAAGGTATCCACTGAGGAACGATGTACAAATTGCAAGAGGAAGCGTGCATGGACTGGAGGATGCATTACATCTCATTGCTTATTTGGAGTCAGCCACTGTTAACACAATCATATAGACAATATTATTCTTCAGTAAATAAAAACACACAGCCACAAAATATCACAACAAATTTTCCTCTGCATATTAGTAAACATGGCAGTTTGCTCTGCTACTGTTTGCAAGTTAACTCTACGGGTGAAAACACTAGCTATCCGTTGCTTGTTGCATTTGCCCACAGAAAATGAAATTAGCTACTTTTGAATTAAGGACAGCTGCTGTTCTTTTTTTTTTCCCCCCCATCTGTGTTCACCCACATTGTTTTTTGGATACTGTTTAATTCAAAACAGGCATTCTTGCTCCCCGCTTCCCTCCCCTTTTCTTACCCTCCTCCTGGTTTCTAACCCATCTCCATCAGATTTTTAAGGTACAAGTGAAAACCCTGACTATTTAGCTATGGTTCCTGCTAACTGCTTTGTCACATGTCAAATGTGATGTGTTTTCTTCTCTGCCACACTGACTCATCTCTTTCTTCTAAAAAGATTATTTTTTTCTTTCCTCCCAGTTCCTCAACTGCCTTCTAATACAATCTTACTGGGAAACAAGCATCCCGACATGCTGCAGCAGCATCACAAGCAATAGTCAGCGGTCACTTCAGAGCCTCACTGCCTAAAAGCACAAAACCAAGACTTCAAATTTCTTCCCCAGAGCTTGCTCTTTTTTCTCCGTATTGCCCAATTATCCCCATTATAATTAATAAACACATTAAAACTTTTTAAAAAACGTGTAAAAATATAGGATTCCTTATTCTAGAGGTGGAAGGGACTGTCGAGATGTAAGTGAAACGTAGTTCACATTCCCCTGTAACAGCACAATATTTTCTACTGAGCATAAAAAAGAGGGAAAAAAATGCAGTTTCTTAACCCTTACCTCTGGTTATAATATTAACAACATCTGCCACACATAAATATTGCAACCAGTAATGCAGGTACAAAGGCTTCTGCTTAGATGCTCCCCTAACTGCAATTCAAACGGCTGCAAGGCTCCAGTCAGCCACCTACTTGAGTAGAACTGGTCAGTTCCCAAGCACTAATCTTATCTGCATTAGGCTGCACGGTAGCTGATGCCCGCGATTAGTTCCGGCAGAGTGATGCAGGTAGGGATGCTGATACAGCCGAGTAGGTGAGCTCTGCCCCGACCGTCTACCCAATTACAAACACCCCGCTTCTACAGGGAGGATTTATCTAAACGCAGGATTTACAATTGTGCATGCGAAACTTTACACTTACGTTAGTTGCCTCAACCTTTCCCCTTTCCCGGTATGCTGCAGTTAGGAATGATTTGTTCCAACACATAGAAAGCCATGCATCTGGTAGCACCAGTTTGGGGAGAAATTAGAAGCAGCAAAACGTTTCCTTCTTGTAAAATGTGTTGCTTCGGGCTGGCAAATTAGCAACTCCAGAGAACAAATTCACAGATTTGTCGTTAGTCATTCTCTCCCCATTTCGTCTCTATTACCCACTGGGTCTGGGATCTTCTGGTATTTAACACACACACAACATCCAGTTGCACTTCTTCAGCTCAAGACTATTTTCCACAGCATCAAGCATACCATTTCCATGCGATAGCGATACTGCTTAAGTCTCTAACTTCTTGTAGGAAATGTCAGAGTTGGGGTGATGGTGATTCTCTGGCTGCTCTCCAGGGTGACAGTTGTCTGAAGAATTCCTAATCGGTTCTCTCTTTCGTGCTTCAGAGACTCTAAGTCGCTCCTTCCTGTCTTGCGTGCTCTCCCTCTCTCCCTTCTCCTCTGCCCCTTTCTCCTCCCTCTCCTCTCTCTCCTCTGAACTGAATTTCTTGATATAACTCTCAATAAGCCCAGAGGGAGGGCGTGACGGCCGAGGCCCCGCCCCCGGGACCTGATTGGTCTGCATCTTGCGGTGCGGGCGGCCGCAGCCGGGCGCGAGGGAGGGGGCCTGGAACAAGGCGCTGACTGTCTCCCAGCTTCCCGTCCTCATCTCCCCCTCGGCAGCCGCGGAAACCTGGAGAGCGAATCCTGTACCCGGGAGAGCCGGGTTCCAGGAGGCGCACTGAGCATGCCCAGCAGGGTCCGGCCCGGGAGGGACGCGCCGGCGCTCCTCAGGCCGGCTCGGGCGCGGGTCTGGCTGACGGGAGCGGAGGCGGCGGCTCGTCCGCACCGCGCGGGGCGGCTGACGGCGAAGGCCCGGCGGTCGGGCGAGCGTGGGCGGCGAGGGCGGTGCGGTGCGCTGGCGCGGGTCTGGGGAGCCCCAGGCGGCGTGGTGGGCAGATGGGGGACGCCGAGGCGGCTCTTCTCTGGGCGCACATTTTACCCTTCTTTTTGCCAAAATACAAGGGGGGCAAAACGCAAAGATGCGAAAAGAGTGAACCAGGGGTCCCAGGCGCGAGCCGCCCTGCCGCGCCTGGGAGGGAGCGCGGGTGAGCGGATCGGCGGAGCGCACAAAACGGACAACGTGGTCGGTGCTGCGGCAAGAGGCTGTGGCAGGGAGGGCATTGAAAGAAGGGCGGAAAGGGCGGTCAGCGAAAGGTCAGGGCAGCGCAGTCTTGAATCTCAATCGAGACGGGGAAGAAAATTAATTTGAACACTTCCTACGTGTTGGCTCACGGAAAGTATCAAAGGAAAGGGAGAGCGACAACCTCTGGGGTGCGCTTGGTCAGTCCTGGCCAGCCTGGGGACGGTGCGACGTGTCGTCTCGGAGCGCCGGACGGGCCGCGGAGCCGATCGCGGCAGTGCCCGCCGCTCTGCGCCGCAGCGCCAGAAACCTGAGGACCCTCGCCGGGACGCTCGGCTACAGCAGAACCCACTTCCAGTTCACCTAGCTGCAAACTTTTGCGTCGGAGAGGCTGGAAAGAGTGCGGTCCAGCTGCTCCCCACGCTGTGGAACGCGTCAGCTTAGTGCCGGGAAACACTTGGCTTTCTGCGGATTCCAACTTTACATGTAATACTTGTCTTTTCCCGTGCAGTTCATTTCTCTGACTCCAGCTCTAGCGTACGCGCCAACCTTTCTCATTTTCGGACCAGAGGCGTATGAAATGACTCACGGAAGGATTAGCCTTATCCCTTAAATATTGGCCCTGAAAGCACAATTTATATTTGAATGAGCTTTTAAAATCAGTAAACCACAAAGGTGTCATGGGTTGTATCCACTATGCCAGATACCCAAGGGAAGTTTGAGGCATTAGCATAACAACAGATCAGTTGCACCAAAATTTTTATTTTTTTCTGAATGACCTATAAAGGTTGTCTGGGAAGGTCTTAATGCATGATTGAATAACTTGTTCTAACAGGAAGGATAAAAGGCATTTATTTTAGAAAATGTGTGTTCATTCTGTACTGGGTTGCATGTACATGAAAATCTCTTCACATACTCATGCACTATGATGGAATGTTCAGGCATAGCTCTTGTTTCTGAATACTGTGCTTTTCTATCTAAACAATAACATACATTTTTAAATGTTAAAGGTAAAAAAAATCACTAAGCACACCTCCTGAACTATATATTATACAAATAATTCCATTAGTGAACCGACTCAGACATCACAATTTCCCCAAATCTATGAAAATGTACGTTTCTCTTTTATTAAAACTTCCTCAGGTATATGTTCAAAGTAAAACTGCAGTGTCTGTAAGCCTACTGTGAAGATCATAAATCATTTATATGTGAAATATAACACTGCTTTCTTGAAGGCAATAGGCCAATACTGTTTTTAAGTAGCCAAACACCTCTTATTATGGAAATAATTGTGTATGATTAGAATAGAAAAAATTTAAGAAAAAGGACAGCTTAAGTATCCAAGTAAAAGTTAAAAGAAAAAAAATTATCTCATACAATAATGTGAGTGAATGAAAGTAGATTGTTTTATCTTACCATAGTAATCATCTTTATGCCATTCACAAAATCTACAATTAAAGCTAGTACATTGTTCCAACTGTCACCTATTTTATGCTCTGAGCTATTATAAAAAATAAATGAAGCTTCGTTCTGATATATTTACAATAAACATAGCTGCACAGCCACTTTCCAGTTCATTTCATAAGCATCACAGTTGTATCACATTCTTATTCTAATCATATTGTAGTCATTTCAAAGTCATGTTGTAGTCGAAACACATAGCTTAGCAATAATTAACATTACTAAGAGCAATTGTTTCTGTTTGCTGAGGGAGAGCTTTTACTTGTAGTCACTACCCATTATTACCCCATGCACATAAATGAAATCTTACTATGAACACAGGATGAAGGTTAGGGAAGAGACATAATCATTATATGATTAAATTTATGGCCAGGAGACTTCAATTAAAGGAAACCACGGGTTAAAACCCCAGAATGAAGTGTCTAAAGTCTTTTCAAAGGAGAATGAATATAATCTAGAAATAGAGCTACTGGTTCCTTGTGTAGCTGTTTATTTGACATACCTAAATTATTTGGATTCATTAAGTAATACAAGTTTCTTAAAGCTGTAATAATCTAGGCTTAGTTTTTGCCTTATTGTATTCTAACTGCAAAACTCTACTAGTGAGAACTATGATTAGAGATCTTATTAATATTCCTGAAAAAAATTAAATATAAAGGGTCATATTTCTAACCCTCTGCTATCATAACTTGAGGCTTCTGCCCAAAACACTATATAACGTTCGCATAGTGAGAGCTGCTCAAAATCCGCGTCTCCTGAACTATTTTTTAAAGTTATATCTACATAATTATGGGGGATAATATTATTAGAATAATATTATTCATTAGTTTCAGTATGGGAACATCTATCGGTTTTATGATGTATTTTAATCCTTTCTTTTGTGAATTTAATAAAATGGTAGACTGCCAGTTATATGACTTTCAATATTGTTGTGTGCCATTTTCTGACTCATAGTGACTCTCAATATAGATGCCTATATATGTATACATATATGGCTTCCAATTAGATCTCTTTAATTAACCTTTATTCATCTTTGTCAATGCGTGTTTTCTATAGCAAGGAGTTACGACATTCTCACCCATATTGTATCTGATTCATACTTTAGGGATTTTATATATACGTATATATTCCACAAGTTAAATGTTGTTATAGTTATATGTTTAAACAGTAATTTCCATGTAATGACATATAAAAATGTGAATTATTTAAGCAGTTTGTTAACTTGATTTTCATCTATGATTTTCTAGTTACCACTCAGCATTTTAAAATTACATTTCACGCAGACATTGTAAACGATGTTTTCTAGAAATTACATTTTATATAAAAGCTATAGACCATAGTATTTAGAACAATAATCCCCAAGGATTTCAAGACTCATGTTTTCAACTCTGATACAGTTGTTCTATATTCTAATCAAAGTTAAAAATTAAAACACATTTTTATGTCCTTACTCCTAAAGTTCCTTTAATCCAGATGCCCTATTCGGTGTAACAGACATTAATCAATCAATCACAGGCGCTCTTATGTCACAGTAGGTGTTATTGTCCTCATTTCACAAAAGAGTCTCCACTCTTCTACTGTACTTCTAGGGGAAAAAATCATGCTAAAAATGCTAGGGGTTATTTGTGTTATCACTGTTTAGAAAATGACAGTGCAGAATTTTAACACCACAAGAGGAAAATTAACACCTTTTTAAGGCTGTGCAAACTGCCAAAGTGTGGTAAGCTCCTTGAATAAATTCTTTGCCTCACCATTTATTAGCACTTTCTTTTTTCCTTTGCTTTTATTGTTTTGTTTTTCTTTTTCTTGAGGAAAACCTAGTCCAAGGTAATCAAATCACAAAGGAGAGCAGGTGACAGCCTTCATTCTATTTGAGTGACTGAACTAAATTTATCCCAATTTACTATATTTTTTTATGACTGGCAACGATTATAGATGTCAAGTTTGTAGCTCTGACAGTTATCACAATATAAACTGACATTTTCCAGTGCCACTATTTTATCATGATTACTATATAAAGAAAATATTGAATTCTCAAATTTTATTACTTCTTATTTAAGACTTCAGATTATATACAGTATAGACATAGCTCTCATAACAAATATTTTCCCTATTACAGGCAGAGCTTAAGCAATCATTTAGGAAAACATGAAAAAATGGTTTTAGAAATATTAATATATATATATCATGTTTAAATAGTTTGGTCACTTTAAAGTTATGTAATTTCAAATTAATATAACATAGCACTTTCTATTTCTTCATCTGTATGATATTAATTTTTGTAGGTAAGAACCATTCGATTAGAATATCAAGTATTATCTACTCAATTCACATTTATATAAAAATGTTCAAAGATGTAGAAATAACATGGACTTGTTTGGAAGCATCTCTATTTATACTTAAAATAGAAATAGAAAAATGTAGAGACAAAACACATTGAAGCACAAGAGCATTTGCCCAAAGATAATTAGGCAAATGACTTTCTTAGATACTTGGACATATTTTTTCAAATTAAAAATAAATATAATACAGTAAGTTTTTTATTCTCTTTCAGTACATTCTCATTACCAAGAATATATTATTTTGGCTTGAGGCACATCACAGCAAATAAGTAGATCCTAAAGCCCGGGAGAGTCTTTAGGTAAACATCATAATTAGTAGGAAAAAGTGAAAATAAAAATTGCATAAAAAAAGAAATTGGGAAATGATTATGTTGTTGTTGTCCATTGTCCTGAATTA